AAGAGTATGCTCCTTCCGTGGGCCAGAAAGTAGTAATTTCATACAAACACTGGCATCAAGGGAGACCCTTCCCTGCCTGCTATCTACCAACTCTCCAGATCCTCTTCTCTGCCCCCAGCCTAGAGCTGGCTTCCCTGAGCTTCTCTCTCTACACTCGCCTTGTGGCCCTGTTCCGGGCAGCCACCTGCCTCTGCTGGTCTACACAGAACCTTTTCAAGGAACAGAGAAAACCGCCTCCCATGGATGCTGGAAGAGACACCTAATGGGTCACTGGCAACAGCGTGAGAATGTGAAAAAGTGTCCCTTCCTCCAGGCCGGTGACTCTGTGCCACCACGTCACCTTCCACTCAAAGAATTCAAGTCAACAACTGGGCAACTGCTGCGTGCCACAACCTCTGTGCCTACAAACAGTAGTGGACAAGGCTGCAGACTCTGGAACACCAGGGGCTATCCAAGATAACTACAGCCCAGGGAGCGGCAGGCTGTCCTCTTGTGCTGGGGGTGACGGGAGACCTTACCAGTGTGTTGCCACCTAAACTGTGCCTTCATGGGGAAGTAGCTGCCAGAAAGGATGTGAGGAGGTTCCAGGCAGAGGGGAAAACATGAGTACAGGCAACTTCAGGGAACACTCAGAGAATGTGAGGTTTCAGTGAAGGGGGGAGAGGAGGACAGAGGGGCAGAGGAAGGCGATCTGGCCCCAGTTCATGCACTTTTTGGGTAAATACTTCTTGAGTACCTCCTAGGTTCTAGATGCTGTTCTAGGCCATGGAAAATAAAAAGCAAATAAACATAATTCTAGCCAAGAGAAGCTAAAAATCTAGTTTGGAAGAAAGGAACAATTCTAAGCACAAAACAAGTCAAGCCCAGGGACTGAGCTGTGTACAGTGCTTCCCAGATAGAACGGGCACGTCAGAGACAGGACATGGTGCTGGGAGCTGGGTGGGGGGCTGTGTGATGGAGAAGCCAAGGACCCAGCGAGTAAGCATTAAGGATAAGACATCACGACTCCCCTGAGCTGGGTGGGGTCAGGGTGGGACATGTCCTCAGGAGAGGACCTATAGGCAGACCAGGGCATGCGGGGGCACCCTACTTGTTCTGAGGCAAGTTTTTCTTCCCTTTCCAGTTTCACTGGCCTTTTACACGTGGCCTGCTTTCTTAAAGGGTTAGATTTTCTTTGGCTCAGCATTTTTTTAAACCATTTTGAAAAAGAATCACACTGTACGGATAATAAAGACTGGATGCCTTTGACCCAGGGTGATAATAGTCTCAATTTACATATTATGTCCTGACATCCCCTTCGATTTAGCATTTGTTCCAGACAAAAGTGTCCCAGTTTAGATGACAGATTCTATGACTGCCCTTTTTTGACCTCAAGATATGGTCCAAAGGGAAACATCTTTCTCTACTACTGCTATTTTCCACACGTGCCAACTGCTCCAATGTTCGAGTATAGCAACAGCTCATTTATCAAATCTTCTTTGAACAAAGGTTCCTTTAATAAACTGAGACTGGGCTGGGAGGAGCTGGAAAATGATCTTGTATCCTAAGCCCTAGAGTGGGGCAGAGAGAGCTGAAAAAGAGAAGGGCACTGTGGGCATAGGCCTCTGGAGGGTGATCAGCACCACACCCAGGGCCCCACAAGCTCCAGTCCTCTGAGTGGGAGTCACAGGCAGTTTCTGTCATCACCTGGGGGTAGGGGGAGAGATGAAGTGCTCTACTGTCCCCACCATCATGGGACCATCTCATTCAGCCCCTTGTCCCCCCCTCTACCCTCGCACCTCAGGCCAAGTGACCCAGGCAACCTCCCTTGGAGACAAGCAAGTGTAGCCCCAGACTGTAAATCCCTGTCTTTAAACACATCAACATGCACACAGCATTTCTACTACTGGAAAGTTTCTGACCAAGCCTCTGATGCAAACTGCCCTTCTTCTTCCATCCGTTTTCCTGTCTACTGCAGAGGTTCCAGTTCCTACCCAGCCTTGTTTTTTTTTGGCAAGGGAGACATTGCTGGAGGGACACCCAGTGAGAGGGCTGTGAGAGAAGGCATGCTTGCGACCCTGGGCTCTGCTGGACATGGGAGATGGCAGAGAACACATTACAACCCCCCCCCCCACACACACACACTGTAACTGCCGCCTTAAAACATGACGGAGCTGCAGGCCACAAGAGTCATTCTGGGGTCTTTCCCGGACTCCAGCCTACCAGGGACGAGGGACATGTCATCCTTGTTTTATACGCACATTCCAGAACATGGGTGGTTTTAAAGGATCTGTCCAAGATAACCTGGAGGAAGAATGCACATCATCGGGCAAATTTATAAGGCAAGAGGCAGTGGTACCCCAGAGTGAGAGGCCAACTTAGCATGAATCTGCACTGCCACCAGCAAGCGGGACCTTAAAGAACTACGGCACTCAGAGAAAGCTGGCGGCTAAGAGGGGATGCTGGGGGAGGGTGTGTGTCTGTTTACTAATCTAAGAAAATGAAGACCAGAACCAGTGATCAGAGTTTCTTACTCATTTTCTGGCACTTGGTCCATGAGGCCACAACATTACCTTCCTAATTAACATCTTGAAGGATAATTCCTTCCCACCCTGCCCCCTCTAGCAATGAACCTGCCTGCTATCATATAAACAGTCAAAACGCAAGGCTTGCCTCTGCTAGGATTCAGAGCCTAACTCCACTACAATTTTAACTTCAGATCTTCTCAACAGGCTGAGAAATACAAACTGAATCAATTTTACTTTTTTTTTCCTAATGGAGGGAAACAAAACAAAACAAACAAAACAAAAATCAAGTTATAAAAAGAAATCATCCAAAATTCCTAACTCCTTCCTTCAACACTATATATTTCATTGCAAAAAGAAAGAACAGGCATTTTTAAAATAAGAATGCAAGCTACTTAGCATGCAAATATTTAAATTGAAAGAATAATATTTTTGCTGTTCTTTTTCTTGGGGCTTTACATGTTCTTATTCTTGGTGCTCTGTATGTTAAGTAGTAGGGAAAAGGTACTAAAAAAGGTCCACCCCCCCCCATAAACTTCTAATCTAGTAATAGAGCCAAGTAAATACCAGAAGACCATCAGATAATGAGACAGTGATCTACAAACGCTAAAGTGATATTGTACCCACTATGGCAACAAAGAGGGATTAGGAGAGGAAAGACATCTGGGCTGAATCTTGAAAGTCTTCACCAGAAAGGCAGGATACAAGGTGGCCTTTGACAGGCCTGGAATTTTTAAATTTCAAGAAGTCGCATTGCAGGTGGATGAGAAGAGCTCAGGCTCATGGAATCAGCTGGAAGTGTCGCTCTTCAAGCTAAGTACAGGGAAGGTCAGCCTGCACCTCTCGGCCTAGCTTGTCCTTGCTTGAGCACAGGCAGACACGTGGTAAGCCATTCAAGTGTGACTTCCCGTGGACTCCACCTCCCCTCCGATATCCCCAGCAGCACAGGCTGATGTCAGTGCCCCTGTTAAGTGAAATTCCCTGTGACACAAAGCAGAGTCGCCGTGGCTCCAGGTCTCATTTGAGGCTTATGTAAGTGCAGGAATTTCTTTCTTAATTTCACTGCTATTTCTATCAATTTTATTTCTTGTTTTTTTTTTTCTCGAGGTTTGCCATTTTGGTAATTTCCCAATTTCTTAATAGATAAAACTGAATTGTACATGATATGTGGCAGGTTAAAAAACAGACATCTGCCTGCCAGCAGTAAAAGGCTTCTGCAGGGTATGCAGGATAGCACGGTCAGCTAGACACAGGCCTCAGTACTAAGGGTCTCCAGTGCCTGACTCTCACTCTAGGAAACTGTATAGGGGACGGGATGCACCACCCTCACCTACCTCATCCTTAAGCCTCACAGTATTCCCAGACCACCACTCCAAGCAGGGGAGGGACATGAGACCAGTCTCAACTACTCTTCAAGCACTATTGGCCTATGTGACCTCAGTAGATAATTTAACCTTTTTGGATTCGAGGTCTATCGACCTTAAAAGAGGAAAGTTGGACTAGAAGATCACTAATGTCCCTTTTCTAGTTCTAAAATTCATAACATCTTTGGTCGCCAAAATCAGGTTCCAACCCGGGTGCCAGGCGGCTCCATCCTTGCCCTGCTACCAGTCCAGTAACTTCATGTGACACATCAGAGAGCCCACAGGGACAAAAGGGCTAATTTAAAGACATGAATGTCATGAGCAATACTGAAAATAAAAAAGCTGAACACCCAGGCTGCTTCCCTTGTGGTGCTTTTGTAAATGTAAGAGAAGTCACCAGATTCACCCCAAATCACAGAATCTCTTAATTCAGAGTATATATGTCAAAAATGTCCAGTTCTTCTAACAAAAAAATTGACAATTTTATGTTTCTCTAAGTTAGGAATTAAAAAGTATTAAAATAAGCACAGCCATATTCCCAAACTGTGTTTTACTTTGTTATGTTTTGTTTATTTTTTGAGATAGCGTCTCATTCTATCACTGGGCTCAAGTGTGTGGTGTCATAGCTCCTGGCAACCTCAAAATCCTGGGCTCAATGGATCCTTCTGCCTCAACCTTCCAAGTAGCTGGGACTCTAGGCACCTGCCACCACGCCTGCTGATTTTTCTGTTTTTTTGTAGAGAGGGAGTGGCTTTGAACTCCTGGCCTCAAGTGATCCTTCCACTGAGCCTGCCAGAGTACTAGGATCATAGGCATAAACCAACTAACCCAGTCCCAAAATTGTTTCCCTACTGAGAAAAAATGCCAGAACCTAATTTCCTCATGAAATCAGCCCATAGGAAGGACATATCTGTTAACTACCCCTGTGATGCCCCCTCATCACCCCTAACAAAATGTGGTCCCTGGACAAGATGCCCCAGCATCACTTACTAAATCGGAGTATCTGGAGGTGGAGCCCAGCGAACTTTGTCTTGAGAAGCCCCACAGCGGATTCTGATAAACACCTAAATTTGAAAAGTACTTGCCAAGTTCTGAAGAAGGCCACCAGAAACAAACCAACAAACATACATACCTGGCTCCAAAGATGTCCTTTTTGGCGAGATCAATTCCAGAAACAACTTTTACTCTGAGAATACGGGATTCTCCCTGTAAGAAAAAAATTTTTTAAAAAAAGTTTAAAAAATTGATCTTCAATGGCTCTGTCTCACCCAATATTAAAGCCAATGATTTCTTTTCAGCCCAGTACTTGGATACAGAACAAATCAATTCAAGTATAAAGCAATTCTTCCTTATACTGAAGTTCGAAGAGCAACCTTCCAGCTCTAAACGTGCACAACTCCAGAAATTTACAGCATCCAGCTTAATTAAGTACAGATTTAATTCAAACTAGGTCATTAAGATCAATTATTCCTGACATTTAAAGGAACTATTTCCCAGTTGTACCAAGAACACAATCACATACATAAAACCGCTAAGAGAAATGTCTGAACACAACAAGTTAGCGTAACTACAACAAGTGATTCCTCCTTTAAAGTTTATATATTTGTATGTATGGCCTGAGATAGAAAGAAATTTAAGGTGGTAAAAGCTTTCCTGAAAATGAGAATGCTTTTCAAAATGTTGACATCAACAAGCAAAAATAATTCCTTAGCTCCAGTAGAAAGAAATTAAGAACGTTTTCCTAAATGGAAATCGTCCCAAAGAGTCTCAGAAAACAGTGGTTGATCTGTTCACTTGTTCATTCATTCACGTTGCTTCACTAATTGCAGCATTTCCTAAGCAGCTTCCAGACAATGGGACTTGAGATGTGGACATCAGTGTGATTCTGGGTCCCTTGTAGGTGACAAGCAGATCCACAGGACCCTGTGACAGAACATGCTGGAGGGCGGGGGTCAGAGAAGCATTTAAGGGCTAGGGCATTCGGGGTAGCCAAGATGGCTGAGGAGGAGTGGCAGGCAGGAGTCTGGGCAACTTTAAGCTTCCAGTTTAGATCACGAACTGTTACCATAATTGAAACAGAGGATTGAGTCCAAGGTGCCATGAACCACCGGATGAGAAAAAAACAGAAGGCTAAATGGAGAGAAACATCTGAGTTAGAGACTCAGGCGGTGTCACTGTAGAGTTGTAGTTGACAGTTACAGTTAAAGGTTTGCAAAATGTTATTGAAGAAGAGAAGGGAACATGGCTAAGGATTGAATCTTAGAGAACGCAAGTATGGGGTGGCAAGAGAGAGCAAACAAGGACTTCAGTACGGTACGTTTAGTCCAGACCTGGGTGATGGAAAGAAAACCTAAATGATCGTGTGATGTCGAAGGAGACAAAGACAGGGAAAAACAAAACCAGGAGAGAGCAGGAGGGCGGGTGCTTGTCCACGCACCGCTCAGATCAAACCCACGCCGCACAGTGGGAACAGCCTTGACGTGATTTACGCTCGGGGAATCTTCCATCCCGCTGCGTGTCCCTGATACACGGCTGCCCACGCACTAACACAGCGGGGCACAGGCACGTGGTGAAGATGCGTCTCAGCTCGTGTGTTCCTATGATCTTTCAAACTGCCTGCATTCACATTGGCAGCCCTCGAGAAAGGATGAAGAGATGAAAGGCAGCACCAGACAAGGCAGGGATAAGCTAAAACGCATCCTTACTACAGCAGTGCGTCTCAGTGCTTGCAGAAGTGCTGGGGTTAGGTGCTCTGGGCTTGGTTCCTGGAGGCGCTGTGGGAACATCCCTGTCCCTGTACACTTCCCAGCTGGCCGTCAGCGGTTCTTTCTTTAGCACTAAATGCCATGTAGGCTGAGGCTCTTTTCTGTCTCTCCCAGCAGGCTATACCCTGCTGCCAGTCACCTGATGCCTCCCGTGGCCTGCTCAGCTCAAAGCAGTGCGAGTGACTTTTACACATGATTCAAAACACACCTTTGTTTTTTTCTTTTGAGACAGAGCCTCAAGCTGTTCCCCTGGGTAGAGTGCTATAGCATCACAGCTCACAGCAACCTCCAACTCCTGGGCTCAAGCGAGTCTCCTGCCTCAGCCTCCCAAGTAGCTGGGACCACAGGCGCCTGCCACAACACCCAGCTATTTTTTTGGTTGCAGCCTTCATTGTTGTTTGGCGGGCCTGGGCTAGATTTGAACCCACCACCTTAGGTGTATGTGGCTGGCGCCTTAGCCACTTGAGCCACAGGCGCCAAGCCCAAAACACACCTTTGTTTAGTTCTTTGTACACTTAAGAATACATGGCCCACTCATGTCCATAGTGCACATAGAAGGTGAAAGTCGTGGCTTACACAAAACCCCTGCCTGCCAAACTTGACTTGGGAGGGAATGGGGACTTATTCAGAAGAAGAAATGGATGACAGGTGCTATAGCTTACATGCATGTCTCTCCAAACTCCTGCTGAAATTTGATCCCCAATGTTGGAAGTGGGACCTGGTGGGAGGTCTCTCATCAATGGCTTGATGCCATCCTTGTCCTCCGGTAAGGAGTTATTGCTCTGTTCGTTCCTGCCAGAGCTGGTCACTAAAAAGGACTGGCACCTGCCCACTTGGTCTTTCCTCCGTCTTCTCTCCCTGCACGATCTCTGCACACACAGGCCTGCCTTCACCGTCTGGCATGAGTGGAAGCAGCCCAAGGCCTCCACCATATCCAAGGGCTGGTGCCAGGCTTCTTGCACAGTCTGCAGAATCATGAGCCAAATAAGCCTCTTTTCTGTAAATCACCCAGCCTCAAGTATCCCTTTATAGCAATGCAAAACTGGGCTGACACAATAAGAAAGTGCTACAGAACAGGTGACTGATTTTCCTGTCTCCCTACCTCCCCCACCTCTACTCTCTACCCCTCCCACCAGCACAAATACTGCCAAATATTACTGTTGAAGGGAGAACTTGGATGGTATTAAAGTGATGTGTCCAGCCCACCCTCGGTGCTGGCTAAAGGAGCTGCAGGTGTTCAATCTGGCCACAGAAGACTGACATGGCTCCTACACAGAGGAGCCTGAGGTATCTGCTCAGCACCAAGTTCCACGTACGCCCAGCGCATGCAAGCAGCAGTTCTGTTTGCACACCCCAGGCTCCTACCTATAACTGATCTGGAGGACCCAGAGCAGGAACTGTGTCTAGGAAGGAACTCAAGGTACGGCCAGTCTCAGAGCAGAAGATAAGAATTTTGATGTGAAACTATTTCCTTGGCATTTTCAGAAGTCCTGGGTAGAGCCTTGGACATTCCACACAATGGATAGGGGGACTCACTTCAATCGTAACTGGCTTTGAAGAAGTAAGTACTGCTAATAACTGGTTCCCTGAAGCTTACATTAAGGTTAGATAAATGGTCTTACATTTGGCATGCCTACTTTCCAAAAGTAGGCAACATTCATATGAATAAATGATTAAAAATAAATCTAAACAAAAGGATAACGTTTAGTGATCTAAGGATACAGGAATAAGGAAGACAAGACACAACCGCTCACACACACTCCAGCCAGCCTCTCTGCTGGTGTGTGCAGAGTACCTTATCCAAGGGCTCTTAACCTAGGGGGAAACAGAAATTAATAGTCCTTCTGAAGGCAAAGAACATTACCCACCAAACACCTTAAAATTCTGTCTATACTCCCCATCATTAGATGAAACCTCTTTTAGGAATCATTCCCAAGAAAAGTACAGATGGGTGCAGATAGAACAAAATACTAGCTTAAAGGCCAGTAACCAAAGCATTTTTTAAATTGAAAGGAACCTAAAAGCCCCTGAATAGTAGACAGCTAATTCCATGCCATGGGCCATATAACACTGTCATTAAAAGCAGGTAAGAACATGTAATGACACTTCTTCATTCCACAAGTATATCTGAGTACCCCCCATGTGTCAAACATGTTATCTGAAGACATCGATGTCAAAGAGAGAGAGTTCCAGCCTCCAGGAACCCCCAATCTAGCAAGCAGAAAGACAGGACTGTGAATACATAACAGGAACAAGCAAGACCACTTCTGATGGCAGTAACACAAAAGCAACTGAGTAGAGGGAGGGGGTGGAGAATTCACAGCTGGATGGTCCTAAAGGCCTCTTTGAAGACAGTAGAGCTGAAACCTGAGGGAGGCAGAGGGAAAAGGCAGGGCTGGGGTTCCAGGCAAGTCTGAGAGCAAGGCCCCCAGGAGAGAGGGGCAACATGGGGTCCAGTGGGGTCAGAACCAGAGAGGACAGTCTCAAGAGAAGGTGCCCATTACTCCAACCATTTGCAGGGAGGCACTGTAAAGTTTTAAGCAGGGAAGTGACAAAATGTGTCTTAAGTTTTTGAAAGAACCACTGTGACTATTTCCTCAGGGAAGCCTGAGCAGGGAGAGGGAGAGCAATTGAGAGATTCTGGCATGAGAGAGAGGAGCTCTATTTAATAGAGTGCAGATGGTGAGGTCACTAAATTCAGCATACAAAAATACACTTAAAATAAAGTGGTTACACAAAAAAGTTTCCAAACAGCTTATACAACTGAGTTGTAGGCAGCTGGTTGTTCAAGGAGCCATTTCCATTTTCTCCCTAGACATTCTGCTCAACTACATTTCCCAGCCTTCCTTGCAGTTAGGGACAGTCACATGACTCTGGCCAATGGAATGTGGGCAGAAACAAAGAGGCCTCCTCTAAATGAGGCCATAACCCCCCGCCCCCCCCAGCACTCTCCATTCTCACCCCATCCCTCTGCTAAATGGGGGGAACTTTGAAGGCAAAGAGGAGGAAACCCCATAAAGGGAATCGAGTTGAGGGCCCCCTACTAATCCCTACTGGCCCTCCTCAGACCCTGAGCTGGAAATGGACTTTTTCCTTTTATTTATTCCCAATGAAACCAAGGGTCACCACAGCAATTAGCCTACCCTTGTCTACAATATAATCTCATTTTTTAAAAATGTCAAGGAATCCTCAGCACCTGTAGCTCAGCAGCTACGGCACCAGCCACATACACCAGAACTGGCGAGTCTGAATCCAGCCCGGGTCTGCCAAACAACAGTGACAACTACAACCAAAAAATAGTCGGGCATTGTGGCAGGCGCCTGTAGTCCCAGCTACTTGGGAGGCTGAGGCAAGAGAATCGCTTAAGCCCAGGAGTTTGAGGCTGCTGTGAGATGTGATGCCATAGCACTCCACAGCACTCTACCGAAGAGTAACAAAGTG